GAGAGAGAGAGAGAGAGAGAGAGAGAGAGAGAGAGAGAGAAAGAATGGTATTACCATTACCAGAGAGAGTATATGGCATTGTCATTACTGGGTAGAGTGTGTGAAATGGAACAAAACAGAGCTTACATTCCATGTTTGCACACACTAGAAGGACACTCTCAGAGGTAGGAAGATAGTCAACCAGACTGCAGGATTGTGACTACAAGACACCTAAGAGGCTGAAGCTTTGCTGTATAACATGTTGCTGGACGGAGGGGAGAAGATCAGCTCATTGGTCTGAGTGACCATCAGGCATTGGCTATTGGATGGCTCCACATGCAGAGAACATGACGACATTTGAGATCTGGGTAAGAAGCACTTGCTGGGAAGGTTTCATGATTTATTGTGCCCTATAGGAAATGTGCCCTATAGGCCCATATATTTAAGAACTTGATCCTCAGTTGGTGGCATTGTTTGAGGAGGTCTAGGAGGTGTGGCATGGCCTGGGTGGGGGTGGGGGGAACATGGAACCAGATGCAGGCTTTGAGAGCCTAAAGATGGCACTGTTTCAGTTCCTCCTCTCTCTTCTGCCTGTGGTCCAGGATGTGAACTTTGAATCCTGCTCCAGCTTCCAGGCCTGTCTGCTGCTTCCACCTTGCCATTGTAAACTCTAACCCTCTGAAACCATAAGGCCAAATAAACCCTTTGTTCTGTAAATTGCCTTGATCATGGTGTTTTATCACAGCAATGTCAAGTCACTAACACACCAATGGAGAAAATCCTGAGAAATCAAAATAACAACCTGAGAAAATAAGGCAATTTATTAGCAGCTCAGGGTCAAGACTACCAAATACTGTTTTTTTTTTCCAATTGATCTATAGATACAACTCATTCTAAGTCAGAAATCTAACATGCTTTTTTGAAGAAAGTGACAAGTTGGTTATAAAATGTATCAGGAATACAAGGGTCCTAACATAGCCTAAAACAAACTTCAGAAAGAAAAAACCTGATAGAAACACACTACATTGTGAACTAACTAAAAATATAATTTAGAAAAGGAGTTTGGA